TATAAAGGCATAAAGGCCAAGAGATGAACGTGAGCGACTGTTTCTCCCTTGGCTCCCAGCCTCCCCCCTCCCAGTGCCCAGGAATAAAAATAAAACTAATCTTCTCTCATCCAAGCATGCTCGCTCCTGGCCTTTGGTTGATGGAGCTGTAATCCCCCCTCAATCCCTATCACTCTCATCTCAGCTGTTTCCATCTGCTCACAGCAAAAAAAAAGAAAAAGAAAAAAGGGGGGGGGGAGTTGATGCAGAAATTGCTGTGCAGTTCAAAATTTTACGGCTCAAGCGTGGGACCTAAATGGAGAGATTCGCACGCTGGGATGCTAAGAGATCTGGTTATGACCCAGAGCACTGGGATGGGGTGGGGGTGTTTCCAGGAGTGGGGGTTGATACCTAGTGACTGAATGGAGAAAGCTTGATTGAAAGGGGAAGTACAATTCCACATGGCTAAGTAACACCACCACCATTACCTGAAGATCTCTGATCCTGAAGAAACTCAGCACAGTGAACAAGCCCATGCCCTCCCGAGGCAGAAAGGCAGGAAGAAGAGGGCCTTCCTTGATGAGACCCGGGAGGCTGGTTTCGTTAGTGTGGCCCAAAACAGCGCTGACTATGGACAGCCTAAGTACATCCCAAGTTATTTCTAGTTGAACATGGACCAATCTCCAAAGAGGTCCCAAATCCTTGCCACCTGGTTCATGCATCACTGGTTTCTCCAGTACCATCATCCACCTCTGTTGGGGGGGGCGGGGGGTTCCTTCTTGTGTAATACTTCCCTTTACTTTCCCTATGCCCCTGGCTATTTGCTCTTTCTGACCTGGACTTCCTACTGCATAAAGCTAGCAGGATGAAGTGAGAAAGAATGCGGATGGTGGGGCTGGAGTGAGAGTACAGGTAAGGCACTCGCCTTGCTTGCATGCAGTCACCTGGATCCAATGATCCAATCCCTGTCACCCCCAATGGTCCCTGAGCCTGCCAGGAGTGATCCTTGAGCACAAGGACAGGTGTAAGCCAGGTGTGGCACAAAAACAAAAATAAAAACAAAACCCAGGAAGAAAGATAGACAGAAACTGAGGGGGGGGGGGGGGGGGCGGGGAGAGAGAAAGATGAAGGAAGGAAGAAAGGAAGGAGGGAGGGAGGGAGGGAGGAAGGAAGGAAGGAAGGAAGGAAGGAAGGAAGGAAGGACGGACACAGGCAAGTATACTTATGGTGTGCACATGAAGCAATTAGCACAGAGACAGTGACTGGGGCAATCCCAATCCTTGTCTTTCTTCCTGGAGAGAATTCCCATATATCCAAAGACATTAAGGTCTAGGGGCTGGAGACATAGCACAGCAGGTAGAGCGTTTGCCTTGCACGAAGCCGACCCGGGTTCGATCCCCAGCATCCCATATGGTCCCCTGAGCACCGCCAGGAGTAACTCCTGAGTGCAGAGCCAGGAGTAACCTCTGTGCATTGCCGGGTATGACTCAAAAAGGAAAAAAAAAAAAAAACAAAGACATGAAGGTCTAGAAGAGGGACTGCAGCTCAAGATCACTTCCAGGATGCACAGGGCTCCCTCGGGTTCTGTTCTCCTCTCCCAGAGGCGAGTCATCAGGACCTTCCTGCGTGATTGCAGCAGGAATGTGGGATCTGCTTCATGTGTCTCCCACCGGATGCCGTACTCCCTAAGGACCAGGATGGGGAGTATTCCCCAACAAGGCTGGGGGCACGGCAGGTGCTCAGGGCAGGCTGACCGGAGGCCAGGGGCAGAAGGGCCTGCAGCACAATGGTCTGGCCCTGGCAGATCCAAAGTTCAGCGGGAGAGAAGAACAAGGAGAACCGCCTGGTGAGATAAGCTGGGTGTAGGCACTGGACATTCCAGGCCGGCCTGGCCTGTCCTGCGTCACCCGAAGGAGCAGGCTGCTGAGGACGCCTATCAGGAAGAGCCTGCAAGAGATAAGTGGCCTTGGGTCTTGTGATGGTGATGGCAGGAAGGTATGCCTTTCGGGGGATGCTGCCACAGGGCAAGGCAAGGAACTGCATTGGAGGGGGGGCGGGGCAGGATTAAGTCATTTGCCCCTCCTACGAGGGGGTGGCATGATGAGCTACGTGACAGGTGCAACTCTGAGACCTCGGACCCAGGACTCCAGAGCCCCCGAGAACTAAGGACAGAACATGGACATTTTCTAGAGCCTTCTCAATCCCCAGGGCTGAAAAGGGCCGAAAGCTCCTTTGTCTCCCTTCCCTCGGAGTGAGGCTCAAATTCCTACCACATTTGACATCCAACAAGTCTCTGGCCTCTGTCCAGTGCTTGCTTGCGGGCAGACAACCCCTCCCCCACCTCTGCCCGCCCCCACCTGTCCCCCCCTCCAGCAGATCTTCTCCTTGAGCAGCTCGATGAACTGAAAAGGTATGTGTCCTTTTAGAAAGAATACGGAAATTTAATTTTAGAAATGAAACGGCCCATCTTCCTCCTGGGTCGGCCAGGGCGCCGAGCTGATGGACTCTTCCAGCTGACAGCCCTCCAGAGGCCCTCCAGAGGCCATGCTCACTTCTCTCCTACCTTTGCAAAGATCCCACAGCGAGAGGGAGGTTATAGAGGCCGCTTGCTGTGAAATTCCTTTCTGTGAAATTCCTTTCGTGCAAATTAACAAACCTTGATAAAAGGAATCAGCAAGAGGAGATGTTTATCTCATTGCAGTAAAAGCCGCTGCTGAGCTGTGGTTCTCTCTCTCTCTCTCTCTCTCTCTCTCTTTCTCTCTCCACCCCTCTCTCTCACCTCCCCCCAAGAGGAAGAGGGAAGTAGAAGGAGTGGGCTTGAAATACAACATCTATAGAACCTTACCAACAGTCCACAGAGATAAGATCGATTTTGCCAGAAGGGGCTTTGGGGAACACCCAAACTTCAGTTTTAACAACCAAAGACTAGAGAAGGAGGTCAAGTGACACACAGGAACAGGGGAACTGGGCCACAATGACCAACATTCGGGCCCTCAGAACCGTGAGTCCTATCCCGCCTGGATTCTAAGCACTGGGGCTTGTCTTGCTGCTCCCACACCAGGGTACCCCCCACACAGCACCCCCACAGAAACAGCTCCCACACAGCTGAGTCTGAGGGAAGAAGAGAAGGAAGAAGCAGAAGGAGCTATTTCACAGTGGGCAAGGGGCATGGAACAGGTTCCCGGGCCTACTGAACTCATCATTCTTGGAATGCAGAGCGAAGACTGCTGACAAATGGGCTCCTGCAAGGTGCCTTCTCAGAAAACGGATTTCCTAACCGAAGGGAGGGAGTGGCCTGGGCTGGATGCTCAGTTCTGCATTGTTTCCTGAGCACTGGGAGTGCGGATCCAGGAGGATCTCCAGGGGTACCCTCTTCTCGTTCCCCAGGGAAAGAAGAGCACAGAAGCCTGCGGTCCATTCCTCTCCCTGCCCAAGCCGCTCTGTGAACCGCGCCCTCCCTCCTGCCCAGGCTCAGCTGGTTTCCTCCTCCATAAAAACAGGGACAATAAGCCCCACCTGGCCAGTGGACCAGGAGTGGGTGAGACTCCCACCAGCGGCATCCACCCTGCCACATCTCTCGCTTTCCCATGGCCTTCCTTCTCCTCCTCTGCCGCCCAGCACCCAGCAGGTGAGAGGTCACCGGGTCTAACCCAAGTCAAAGGAGAAAGAAAAGCAACTTCGGGCTGGAGCGATAGTACAGCGGAGAGGGTGTTTGCCTTGTACGTGGCCGACCCTGGTTCGATTCCCAGCATCCCATATGGTACCCCCAGCACCACCAGGAGTAATTCCTGAGTGCAGAGCCAGGAGTAACCCCTGAGCATCACCAGGAGTGAACCAAAAAAACAAAAAAACAAAAAAAAAAAAAGCAACTTCATCATTCCAGCAGTTCCTCCCACTTAGTCCAAGGCTGGCAATTTTCAAAAACCTTCTACGGTCCTCAATGTAGCAGGGTCCATGCAAAGTGCTCAGGGTGCTTTTGGCTCTGTTAGCCTCACTCCTTTCGGTTTTACAGATGACAACGCTATGGCTGGCAGTACACAGTGGGGCCAAGAGACAACCCCTTTGTCAACCAGTCCAAGTCTCCCCAAAACTTGAAGGATCAAAAAGGGAAACTAGTTGAGTAATCAGGCCTTGTAGGTCCAGACTGAGGCCTGAGCTTCGGAACTTCTAATAACACTTTGGAGGGGAAGGGCTGAGTTCGAAATCCCATTCCTTCCCACAGGGCCTGTGGCACCCAATCCCCAGGGGGTAGCCACTGAGAACACACTCCAAGTGTTATTTGTTGAATGTGTCCATGCAAATCTAATTCCAAAAGTCTATGCTTTAACCCTTCTCTACATCATGTTGCAGGAGGTCAAGGGAGCTAAAGGCTGAGCGGCCCCATGTGATCTAGAAGCAAACAGAAGCTCCTCCCGGCAGGTTGACAGCATGCGTGCAGCTGGGGCTGGACATGGCTCTGGGGCCTGACCCACAGCTGTCCCCAGGAGGGAATGAACCGGGTGAGGGCGAAGAGCTGGCCGCATCCGGGCATGTCACCAGATTAGTTATTCGAACGTCATCCCAGGAGCTCTGGCTCTGCTTCCCAGGGGAAGGGGGCTGCTGGCTGGGGGGAACCACGGGTCAGCGGAGAGGACAGAAACCCCCGCAATGGGCACCGTGCCACGCAGCAGCGGCAGGTGGTGACCTCGCAGAGAGCCCCCGCGGGGCCCAGACAGACACCCCCTCGCCCCACCCCTTTGCAGATCCCAGCTGCAGACCGTCCGGGCTGCAGCCGGGGAAGAGGAAAGGGGAGGCGGCAGGAGCCAGGCTGGAGAATCATCCAGGAAAGATCTCCGGCCAGCGAATGAATCACCCCGCACATGACCTGGGAGGGGACAGTGCGGAACTAAGCCCGAGGCCCGGGCGGCCGGTAGAGGCAGGCCAGGCGATCCCCACCACCACCACCTCCACCCCCCACCCTCGCGCCCCGGGAGCCCGGGGGTGCCCCGCTGCGCGCGCGGGGCATCGGGGGCGACACTCACGGCCTTCAGCTGCTCCAGCCGGTCCTTCATCCTGCCGCCCCGGCGCGCGCGCGCGCGGCCAGGTGAGCGCGTCCCAGGTGAGCGGCCGGAAGGGGCGGCGGGGTCCGAGGCGGGCGCGGGCGGCGGCCGCCGGCTAAGGAGGAGCGTCGGAGGCCACGGGAGCTGGGCCGCGCCGCCCTCGCCCGGCCCGCCGGCGCCGCGCTCCAAATCCGGCTCCGGGCCGCGCCGGCGCAGTGCGACCCGCCCCGCCGTCGGGGCCGCCCCTTACCTGGCCGCTCCCCCTCCCTCGCTCCTCCTTAAAGGGCCCGTGCCCAGCCCCACCCCACCCCGCGCGCGCACGCACGCACACGCGCACGGAAACCTGAACTGGCGGGTGGATGCAGCCGCAGGGTGGAGGCGCGGTGATCTCAGTTTCGTCCTTTCTTTTTTGTTTTATTATTATTATTATTAACAAACTGTTCATGCGGGGATACAGCCCTACAATATTCCAACACCCATCCCTCCACCAATGTAATTTCCCAGAATCAGTGTACCCAGTTTCGGATATCGGTGGTGGGGGGGTGTGCACTGGTGGTGGGGGTGGGGGGTGTTTGATCGTTGTGTGATTGTAACTCAAACGTGAAAGCTTGTGACTATATCTCTGGGTGAGTCAATAAAATTTAAAACAAAAAAAAAATAAGGTCCCTAGTTTCCCTCCTCCCCCAAAACGCCTCCACCCGAGCCTACCTTTATGGCAGGCACCATCTCTCTCTCTCTCTCTCTCTCTCTCTCTCTCTCTCTCTCTCTCTCTCTCCCTCACTCCTCCCTCTCTCTCTCTCTCTCTGTCTCTGAGTTTAAGCATTATGGTTTGCAATACAGATGCTGAAAGGTTATCACGTATATCCCTTTACCTACTTTCAACACTCAGTTCTTGTCCAGAGTGATCATTTCCAACTAAGTTTGTTATAATGGACCCTTATTTATCTTAACTACCCTCTGCACGCCCACACCCTTGTGGTCATTTGCAGCCATCGGCCAAGTCCTCCTGACCTGTTTTCCCTGGTCCAGCTGTTCTTTCCTTTAAACTCTGCCGGACCAGCAGCTGCTGGGCTGCGAGGCAAAATAGATAAGCCTTTGTCCACAGGAACGTAGTGGGTTATACCCACAGGAAGAGTAAGGCAATGAATTTGCCCAGTCCTGGGTTATTGGAGTAACAGGAGGGGATTGGGAGCTGGAACCTAAGAGAAATAAGTAGGTGTGAGGCAGGACTGGTGTTTTATGCAATTGGCTCTCTGGACCCTTCAGAGAAGTGGAAGCAGTTCAGCCTTGCAGACAGAGCTGAATGCGAACAGTTTGTGTAACTCTCCGTTTGTGAGAGACCATCCCCCTGGAAGAATCCCTCTCTCTAAATCGGGAATGCATCGACAATCCCCGCTGGGCAGCCAACTGGATGAAAGGTTTCTAATCATAGAGCAGGGCTGCAAGAAGAGTTTGCTTCTGTCCAGTCTATTTCCCACCTTCAAGCAAGGTTTCGTTGAACCTTGGGGAAATGTGAACAGGTAGGTTCTGGTCAATGCTCTTTAGCCCTCTCCCTCGCCACCCCTGCCCTCTGCCCTGCCTGGCTTCTGGAGCAAGGGGAGCATCTCCACCCAGGAGTGGCGCTCCTCGCGGGCGTGGGGCTTACGACGCCAAGATGCACTTCTCAAGTTAGGGGGGAAAAAATCTGCTCTGTCTATGCGTTCGCGTTGAAAGGCTAGAAATGTTTAGCTAATTCTACAGGACTTTGCCCTGTTCTGTGATCTCTATCAGTGCTCATGCCGACTTCATTGCCTCCCATAAAAAGATACGATCTGATGCGGTCAGGCCGTTTGAACCCTTGTAGTCTTGCGCCTCTTGCTATGCCCTGACACTTTCTTGTACCCCAACCAGAAAGTTACCGCTGCGCTCCAATGTGTTTTCTTTACTTTTTAATTTTTTTTCATTGAATCACTGTGAGATACTATTACAAAGTTGTTCATGTTTGGGTTTCGGTCATAGTGTTCCAACACCCATCCCTCTCAGGGTGCGCATTTCCCACCCCCCCGGTGTCCCCAGTGCGCCCCCTGGTGCTCAAACATAGGAAGAGTTCCTGAGCCCCGAATCTTGTCCTCCCTCTTCTAGAACAAAATAGATGAGTGGAGGTAGTCCGGTGAATTGGTTTTTTTGTTTGTTTGTTTTTGCTTTTTGGGTCACACCCAGCGATGCGCATGCACTCAGGAATCATTCCTGGCGATGCTCGGGGGACCATATGGGATGCTGGGGATCGAACCTAGGTCGGCCGTGTGCAAGGCAAACACCCTACCCGCCTTGCTACCGCTCCAGCCCCCAGGTGAATTGTTTTTAACTTCAATTTTATTTTTATAAACTTGTTCCCAATGATTTATGAAATTCAATATGCCAACACCAATCCCACCAAGTTTTAGGAGAGGAAAATCTCCTGAGACAGGTATGTGAACGGTTTTTACATCACACTCTGTATAAAGAGTCTATGGCACGTATACTCAGTGGGATTTACTCTGACATTTAAAAAAGCATATGAAATTAGGGGCCGGAGAAATGGTTCAATGAGGTGGAGCATTTCTCTAGCTTCCGCCCCTCCTTTGCTGTGGCCTCTTTGCAACACTGTTCCCTTTTAGTGGCCCCATGTTCTGTGGTTGATCCTCTCAGTCTTGTGCCGTGCACTGCCCCCATGTATGCAATATTCACCTATGGCCTCCTTGGAATGTTCTGGAGCCCACACGGGGAGATATGGGCCCAGGGTTCAGAAACACTGGGCTAGAATATATGGTTTGGGTGCAGAAGTTCCAGGTCAGGTCCCTCGCACTGCAAAGTTCCTCCACCCAGAGAACCTGTAGGCCTGAATCCTGAGCCAGAAGAAGCCTCTAGAATCACAGTGCACACAGTGACCCACCTAAAACAGATTTTTTAAATTTTATTTTCATAAGGTTTTTCACACTGATTGCATTCAATATTTCGATACCAATCCCACCACCATTACCCCTTTCCACCACCATTATTTTGAATTTTCCCACCACCGCTCAAGCCTGCCTGCCAGGGGCAGATGTTAGATAATTTATTTTCTATTGCTAATATATATTGAATATATATTATATTCGTAATAACGAATATCATGAGAGGTCACATGCTTGCGGCCGCGCACTTCTGAATTCTAACATTGTAAATGGTTGGGGTCCAGAGACAACTCTGTAGGGAACTAATCCACTTTGAGATTCATTTGGGAGTCTCTGGATCAAGACCACTGATGCATAGAGATGACTCCCGGAGGCAGATAGTGGGTGTGACAGCCAGGACCCCAAGCTGGCTGGGAAACGGGAAGGGACAGCCTGTCTCCCCTGCCACCATGTGGCCTGGAGTCTTAGTCCTTGAACCTGCGTACCTGGGTTTTTCTTCTGGAAGCTCATGGCCATTGGGATTTTATCTGGAGTGGGCGGAGAGGACACACTCGCTTCACCTGAGGTGCCCCAGTGGAATTGGCTTGGTATGGGGTCCAGAGAGATCTCCGGCGAGCTGCTGTCTTCCAGGATTCACTGCTGTGTCTCTAGATCAAGGCCATTGATGCACTGAGATGGCCAAATAGATTAAATCATACTCTTAGGTACAAGAGTATGGATCTTGAGATGATTATGCTAAGTGACATTAGGAAGTGAAAAACAATTACTAGGTAGTTCACAAATAGGTTGAATATTAATAACTAAAGCAAAAAGACTAAATTAAGAACAATAAAACTGGATCAGGGAAATAGTACAATGGGTAGGGCACTTGCCTTGCATGCAGCTGACCTGGGATGAGTCCTTGGCACCCCATATGGTTCGACAAGTTCCACCCTTGTGATCCTCAAGAGTGATCCCTGAGTACAGAAACAGAAGTAGACTCTGAGCACAGCTGGGCATGGCATTTAAAAAAAAAGAGAGAAACAAAACTAATTTCTAAAAATGAAACATCTATGACCTCCTGATAAAAGATCTCTGCTTTAAAAAATAAAATAAAACCAAAGCTCTCATATAGCTGTAAAATGAAGAGACAAAAAAATATATTTTATTCAACTCATTTATCAATGGGAAAGCAGTAGGCTGTCAAAACTTTGTTCAGAGAAGAATTAAAATAACAGACATGTAGGTAGACAATAGGGAATATTGAAATTAAAATAAGTGGGGTGATATGAGACCAATTGTGCCTTTACCAAAAGCATTTTCTTTGCGTATCTATGCGTAAGAATAATTTGCATTACTATCCGTTTTCGATAATTTATAGAATCATAAAAATAGTTACAAGATCATAAAAGTCACAGACTGTTACAAAATCAGATAACTCTGAAAGTTGCATTATACAAGGCTTACCATGCCAAAGGAAAGCGAGTAATATTTTTCTTTATCTTTTGCCATTTTAATTTTTTGTTTTATTTTGTCTAGACACTCCAAGGAAATATCTTCACTGGTTTCAACTGTTGTTAAAATTAAGTTCATAGGCTCTTAGGACCAAAGAGATAATATAGGAGGTAAGGTACTTGCCTTGCATGGGGAAGACCTAAGTTCCATCTTTGACACCCCATCTGTGCTAGGAGTGATCCTTGAACACAGAGCCAGGAGTAAGCCCTAAGCATGCTGGTGTGTCCCCCAAAAGATCAATATAATTTTTTAAATTTTAAAAGTAAAATGTAGGGGGCTGGAGCAATAGCACAGCGGGTAGGGCATTTGCCTTGCACCTGGCTGACCCGGGTTCTATTCCCAGCATCCCATATGGCCCCCTGAGCACTGCCAGGGATAATTCCTGAGTGTAGACCAGGAGTAACCCCTGTGCATCACCGGGTGTGACCCAAAAGCCAAAATAAATAAATAAATAAATAAAAGTAAAATGTATAGGTTCATCTTAATAGATGCAGAAAAAAATCAGAACAACTAAATAATAAGAAGGAATAAAAAGTATTTAGATAAAGGACTGGAGCAATAGTACAGTGGGTAGGGCATCTGCCTTGCACACGGCTGACCTGGGTTCGGGTTCGATCTGGCATCCCATATGGTCCCCTGAGCACTACCAGCAGTGATTCCTGAGTACAGAGCCAGGAGA